AATTCCCCAGCCAGCCTGGTCCATCTGCAATGGGAACCTTGCCCATCTGCAATTCTCCTGCAGCTGTAAGCCTCACGCTGAGATGCTAAATTTGCTTTCCTGATCCATTTCTTCTGATGGAATGCTTGGATGACAGAAGTTTACTTTGTGATTTGTGTTCCTTCATGCCCTGGGAGAAAACGCAAATAGACCAGGAGAAAGGGAGGCTTCCTTGAGCTATTTCCCAAGGCTTATATAATACAGGAGAAGAAGCTTCAGAAGGTGTTTGAGTGACAGAGCTAGGTGCTGAACTCATGTTGATTTGCATTACTTTGAGAAAGCAGGTAGATCTTAAGGCAGGATCTTGATTGGGTGGCTTCGTTGATTTCATTTCTTTTTGGTTAACAACCTGATCACTATTCCCTTGACTGCAGATTCCCATTTCAAGGACTGTGGATGGAGGCCAGGCAGAACTAAGGTTGGCCTAAGAATGGCGTAAGTCCAACTCCTTCCGGTAGATGAAGATGGCTCTAGGCCAGGGGTCTTCAAACTTGGCCCTTTAATGACTTGTGGACTTCAACTCCCAGAATTCCTCAGCCAGCGAGGAATTCTGGGAGCTGAAGTCCACAAGTCATCAAAGGGCCAAGTTTGAAGACCTCTGCTCTAGGCTGTTTAGATCCTTCCCTTGCTTAACCTACCTACAAGGGGTGGTTGTGTGTGCAAAAAAATTGTCCATGCAACCCATGGTTATTCCTAGAAGGACCAATAAAATCTCACTTGGTGGCAATCCAAAAATCTTATCAAAGTCCATCGCACTTAGGAAAGGTTGGGAAAAGATGATCTCTTGCTAATTTTTGGGGCTATGTCAATGCTGTCATCCTGTTCTGCTGATGCAGACTGCCACGAACCCTGGAGTGGGGGGAGGGGAGCTGGGGGAAGGGAAAGGAAGGCAAGAAACCGAAACAGCTTCGACTGCCTGCCAGAGATATCGGCCAGTTGACCTCAAGGTCACTGGGAATGGAACGCAGACCATCACGGAACCTGGCAAGCATCAGAACTGTCACCAAAACAATTTATTTGATTCCAGTTGAAGATAATGCGGAGGGAGGGAAAGACTTGGGAAAGGGGGAAGTAAATAAACAGTTTTTGCCAGCAAACTGTTATTCACACTTACGACCGTTGCAGTATCCCCGTGGTCATGTGATCAAAATTCAGATGCTTGGCAACTGTCTCACATTTATAACAGCTGCAGTGTCCCTGGGGGGGTCACAGGATCCCCTTTGGCGACCTCACTTTTTTCTCACTTAACAACATAAATGTTGAGCTCAATGGTGGCCGTAAATTGAGGGCTACGGTATTTGTGTATTTGCACCGGGGACACTTTGGAGTTGAGACTGATTTCCCTCTTGGCTGCAAAATCAAAATAAGGACTGAGGTTAGTGTTAAGATGAAACTCAACTGTAATAAAAGCTGCGGATTCCTGCATTCAGCAAAGCCAAAGCCCTATAGCCAAGGTTAAAAGCATTATATCCGTACCAGTTCATGGCTGGGCAAAATGAGGATGTGAACAGATGCTTGCATTTAAATCAAATAGCAAATAGAGGGTTTTTTTCCCCCCTTTAGATAAAGTGGCCTCTAGAGAAAAAGAAAATGGGTTCTGAGTGTAGAAAAATAAAACAGCGAAATTCTAAATTTGCCACCAAGGTTTCAGGTATGAATTCCTGTCTGTCAAAAGCAACTGGGTGCGTGTGTGTGTGGGGGAGGGTGTGGATTCATCTTTAATGGATTTTTAAGAAGGAAGAAAAAATATACCAAAGAAGTGATGGAAATGTGAGGATATAAAGAAGGGATGAGAAACACTTCTTGGAAAAATAATGATTAGCTTTGCCTAACACATACAACAACGTTGGTTAAAGTCTTCAGAGCTGCATGCCTGAGACACGTTTTGTTGAATGAGTTTTTGTGGGCTTCGTATGTGTGGTTGAACGTAGCCTCTTTGGCTAGTGCACAGTTCAAAATATGGTGCAATGGAACACCGAAATCCGGAAAAAGGTCCAGTACCACAGGAATCTTGTGTTCTTGCAGAATCCAAAGCTTTTCTTCCAAAACATTATCGGAGTGTGTGCCACACACTCCTTTCAACCATCTCTGTGGTGCTGAAAAGCACAGTTGCTCATCCAGCTGAACCAGACATCGGTCTTTTTCTTGGTTTGTCTTCAAATCATCTTTTGTAAAGTCAAGCGTTACAGGGAAGGGGTCTGGAATCAGATGGTGCCATGGATGAACCAACATATAAGCCAGATCCTACAGCAGGGCCTTCTCCGTGGTGGCATAGCTTAACCTCATGTATAAAAATAATTGCTTCCCTAATGATTTTTCATAAAAGAAGTGAAGAAAGGAACTTCTCTCCCTGCGCATACATTTTGGAGAGAGAGAGAGAAGGAGAAAGAGCTATTTCCAACACCAGTCTGAAAGCTTGGAAGAATAAACCTCTGGTCCTGGTGACCAACTCAGATTGGATCCTGCATCATCCATGGAGTCAACCTAGATTTTTCTGCCCCTTCAGATGCCACCTCGGTTCCCATCTTTCGGGTCTGATCTCAATCCCCATACCTTCCTCCCCTTCTGACAACTCCAGAATCCCTAAAGAAGACCAAATGGTCATCTCCGTTTGGTAGCCTCAAAGCACAGGCAGGTGCAACATCTGCCCAGCCCACCTGGAGTTTCCCAAATGGCCATTTCCGGGAACTAGAATTGGAACAGGGGAATAGATCTTAAGAACAGGGATGAGGACCAATCCAAGTTTCTCAGTCGTTCTAGACTGAGCCATCTCC